ACTTTACAGGGATTAAACGCCCGATGTTCACAGACGTCTACCTCTAAAGTATCTTTAATATGGTTTATTTAAAAAAATTAATTCTCTTTTATTGATAGTAACTACAAAAAATGGGCAAATATGAAGTTTGAAAGAATATGATAATTGGAAACAGGAGAAAAAAAGAAAAATGCTTATCCAGGTTGAAAATGAATGTTCAGATATAACAGTCAGAAGGTATACGTATAATATATCGTTGGAAAGCGGAGAATTTTAGAAAAAGCAATATCTATAAATAAAGTTGTAGAAGATAGCGGAGAATGACGAATACAATATAAATAATAATTCCAGAAAACTAACATTATTTAACGTGAATCACATGTTTTCAAGAACATTAAATGAAATTTTCTTACTAAATGTAAATTTTTTTTTAATTTTAAAAAGTATTTAAAATCCACCAAATCAAGGCAACGCCATTGTTTAAAATACTATTTCATTGTTCTTGTGTAAAAGAAGAAGTGAAATATAAAAATATTTCATGGATGTATAAAGCATATGTTTATAACCTTAAATACGTTTATTGTAGTTTAATAACTCCAGATCTGATATTATATTTAAATAATTAGGTATCTATTGTCCGTTTATTCCAAAAAATCAACATGTAACCTTTTAGAAAATTAAATTTTTTTTTTATTATTTATTTATATGATATTTACAACTGTATACAAAATATACATCTGGTAAATTCGCACATTGGTATAAAGACATGAAACACATGTTGAGAAACTACCCATTGGTAGCACTCTAAGAAAATTAAATTAGCGAATAGTTTGATGAATTTTCCCTTTGTGATATTCCAACAGTATCCACTTACAATTAGTGTGACAATTTTTGACCTGTCTATGACAGACAATGCAAATCTCTTAATCCCATTTTAATAAACTTTGCAATGAAAAATAACAGTTTGATAACTAATAGTCGTACAATACATAATCATTTATAGGTTAAATATACAAATATACTTTGAAATCTCTAGCCATATATTAGCCTTTTTGTTGACAGACTGATTAACTCCAATTTCAATATTTATTATTAATAATTTTAGTGATATTTCATGTGGGAAAATTTATATCTTTTTTTCATAATTCTATATTTCAACACTGCAATCATCTTCTCTGGAATCAACTTACTCACTGTCTGTACAGATATTATAAATTTTCCAACTAGAAATATCACTAAAATGACATAACTCAAAAATGTTGAAATTGGATTTAGTCATTCTTTCAACTGAAAGGCACATATAGCTTAGAGATCAGAGTTATTTGGTTTACAAAAACAGATCGAGTAACGAGGTGTTTGTTGCCTACTGTCGATATAATAAATAGGTTTTTTGTTATTTTAATGGTATTAATGATCTGTAAACAGTAAGCTTTAAGTTTTAACGCCGTTTAAAATGCATTTAAAAAAAAAATTATAATAGCCCATCATTGGCAGAAAATAACTCCTATTCAAAGTAGAAGGGTAAGTGAAAGTTGGGTGTTGCGCGCACCAGATTTTTTTCTTTTTTTTTTTAAACCCACGGAATGTGGTGTTCAGAAAAGGGGGTTGGATGAGGATTAAATATGACTTCTTGTATATTATATAATAATTACGCAATATCTTTAAACAATATGTTTGTACCATTCATTATTAATGAGAAGGTAGGATTTCAGTGATAAATTTAATATTTGACTGAGGAAAATATCCCTGGGATCCTTTTTTCACTTTCACTTACATATATATGTAATATATAGTAAGGGTAAGTATTGCGATCGTGAAAATTTTCGAATCTCAGTTTTCAACGGAAATACATGTTTTGAGGTCCCCTGAGTTCAAATAACCAAGTGTCGCAAAATGGTCTCTGTGTGTGTGTCTGTCCGTGTGTGTGTGTTAACCGTCTAGCTCATAAACGAAATTGATATTAAGTATTTAAAGTTTGTATATGGGCCAGATGTGACAGCAACTTTTTCAATAAAATCGGCTAACCGGAAGTGCCACTTTATATGAACGCTGAAACACATTTTTACAATTTTCTCAAAAATGGGTCTAACGATTTTGATCAAACTCGGTGTATCATTGTATAATTAAGTGGTCTTTAATATCATTTAGGTCTTATCCCCGTTAATGTCACTTTACAGGGCTTAAATGCCCAATATTCACATATATATATATATATATATATATATATATATATATATATATATATATATATATATATATATATATATATATATATCTTCCTCTAAAGTACCTTTAATATGGTTTATTTTAAAAAGTTAACCATTTCGCATTATTCAGAGTTACGAAAAAATACTACATATAACTTTTGAAAGAATTTGATAAGTTAATAAAGGAGAAAAAAAATAAAAAAGCAGAAAAACCTGCGTTGCTATAGACTGTAGCGCCTAAACGAACGTACCGATTTCAATGAAACTTCGCTAAAGTCATTTTCTCGATACCCTTTAAATTTATCTATATAACATACTTCAACGAAAAGAAGCTGGAAAAAAAGTTACGAGGGATGTTAAAATTAAATTCCGAATAACTCAAAAAGTATACGCTTTTTTGGGGATATTGCATATGGTTTTTTAAAAGTTTATGGATTTTCCTAAAAAAATCGTTAAAATCGGATAATTAGTAGGAAAGATATGGTCTCTAGTTTTTTTCCCTGAAGAGGCGAAAATTTGGATAAATTTAAAATATATTTTTTTAATTGTTGAGACTAAACAAACCTTTTTTCTACAGATATTTAATAAAGTGTCTTTCCTAAGAACATCTTTCATAAGAATTAAGTACCTAAATTTATACCTTTATTCTCAGTTCTATATTTCAACACTGCAATCACCACCTTTGGAATCAACTTACTCATTGTCTGTATAGATAACTTTTTCAATTAAAAATATCACTAAAATGACATCACTCAAAAATGTTGAAATTGGAGTTAGTCATTCTGTGGTTTATAAAAACAAAGAAAGTTGTGTGGTTTATAAAAGCAGATGGAGTGACTAGATTTTTATTGCCTGTCGTCGATATATTAAATAGACATTTTGTAATTATAATGGTCTTAATGACTTGTTATCTGTAAGCTTTAAGTTTTAGCTCCGTTTAAAATGCACTTCAAAAAATTTTATAATAGCCCAGCATTGCCAGAAAATAATTTCTATTCAAAGTAGATTGATAAGTGAAAGTTGTGTTGCGCGCAGCAGATTTTTTTTATTAATTATTTAAAAAAAAAAAAAAGACCGAAACAGGATTGTAAAGTATTTAAATTATGGAATATATTTTAATTTTTTTTCAGTTGAAGCACAATTTATTTATGAATGTTGTCATTATTAGTATTAAATGTGGTATAGTAGAAGATATAAATCCTAGAGATGATATAAACTCTAAAATAATGATAACATGTTTATAAATAGAGACTGGATTTTCCTGCAGTAAAAACTTTTAAAACATAATAAAAAGTTCAAAACATGCAAAAATGTGCAATTGAAACTAAAAATGTGGAAAAAGATGCGGCCAAGCAAAAAAAAAAAAAAAAAATCAACTAAAACATTTCACTCATTAAAAAAATTAAACAATAAAAAATAATAATTTTTAAATTTAATCAAAAGTAGATGAAGATTGATAGACCATAATACTTCCATAAACACAATTCACAAATTTAAAAAATTTATATGGAATAACTCTATATTTTTTTTTAGTATTTCGGCCTTATTTTTAAAACATTTAAGACAAACTTCTAAAATACCATATAATAAACCCCTTTAAGACAGTACATGTTAAAGATAACCATTAAAAATTTTATTTTATTTTTTTTTTTGCCACATTTTCTTTGCTATAATTTATTTTGGAAAACAGCACTTATGAAACTACACAAAAACATGCTCTGAAACCATCAAATAATTTATTTTTATTGTAGTTCAGTACCATGTAAATTTCTGTTAAGTTATATTTCTTCTCATTAAGTTTTTATTTTAAACAAGGATATGACCTTTAACATCTACACTTATAATTAGACTTTGTATATATGAGTTTAAAAAACTTGATGCCACAATGTTGTCCATTTAAAACATGGTTATATTTTATTAAAATTCCACAACCATAATTACTTTCAAACACTATTTTAAATTTTTCATTAATTAATTTCCTACAGTTGATATATATTTTTTAAATAGATTTGTGTATTTAAAGAGAGTTTTTTCATTCAAGATTATTTCCAGCGGAATCATTCTAAAATATAACTTTGAGGCTCTTCCAGATTTTTTTTCCACCATTACTATCTAGTTTATTAAAATTGATGAAAGTTCCACAGCTTTTTTTGAGGATCTTTATTTAGACTATATAGTATGTATGATGTTGAAGTAAACCACTTTAAGATTTTTACCAGTTTTCAGGACATAAGGCGTTTCGTCAGTCATTAATAACAAGTATAACTTTATCTACATGAGTTTTGTGCAAAATATTATGGCAATCATTGGACAATAATGTACCAATACTTGAGTTCATTTATTGAAGTGAATATTAATTTTTAGTTTCTAGTCATTATTATTCATTCATGTATTCATGAAACAAAGCAATTTGTAAGTAAAACTGTGATTTTATAATTAAAACTTGAAAAATAAACAAAATACCATTTCATAGAGAAACCCCAAAGTTTTAGTTTTCATGCAATATAAAATGAGTATCGATCGAATCATGATTTGAAGTTATGTTGTGGTTAGCCTGAATTTAAAGCAAGAGAAAAAAAGATGAAATTAGACAAAAATCCAGTCTCTAGTTACAACAGTGATGAAAAGGTGCCAATAGGAAAAAATAGTTTTTTCCTTACAAAAAAATTGTTAATATATCATTAAAGTAATCTTAAGTTGAAATAAATAAATGCCTATTGACAACACTTTGTTCCAGAATATTAATGTAGTCAAAATGATGAAATTCAATTAAGAATAATAATAAAAAATATTACTAAACATTTTTATTTTCAGCCAATAATAAAAATAAAAACAGTCAATACTACAGGAAGTACGAAAATAGAAGAAATTGAAGCTCGAATGGCCTATAGAAAATTAAAAGTTAAGGAAGCTTGTGCAAAATATGGCTTAGACAAAGAAGGAAATGACAGCTTACATCAACCAAACCCTTGGGAATTTTTAATAAATAAAAAATATCACCTCGTTTGGTGCAATATTTTTAAAGCTGCCTCCACATCATGGATGTATAACTTCAATTTACTGGCTGGGTAAATAAATAATAATAAAAATGAGCTAACAAAATGTACCTATTGAAAAATTAAGGATTAATTCAGTTTCTAATGTAGTTTTATCTTTTATAGTTGATTTTTATTAACAAGGGGAGGTTATGGACTTGGGGTCACTGATTTCATATAAGTTTTTTTTTTATGATACTAGGTCAAAAAATATTAGACTCTTATCCAAGGATATGCCACCTAAGAGGTGGCAAACAAATATTTTCTAAACAAATATTTTATAAAATTTTATTATTTTTTTATATCACTGTTTTCTGACTTTGCTCTGCATGGATTTCTAAGTTATTATATAGACTAATCGAGTTTTTTGTGTAAAAAAAGAATAATTTTTTGAAAATTGTGTTAAACTAATTTTAATAATAATTCACAAAAGTTACTCCCTGTAAAGTAGGTCAAATAAATTGTTGTGACGAAAAATGATTTAGATTAATTTTTAGGGTCTACTTAAACCCTTAAATACGATTTTGTTTTGAAATAAAAACATATAAATTTCTGGACCTAATTTTATGGAAGGTTTTTTTTTTCATGCCGTTTACTAAAATATTCGTAACTCCTCAGAACTTTTTCTTAAGTCAACATTACTACAAATATTGGAAAGCTTAATTATTGCTCTTCAAATTCTTTTCAATATTTTTTAAATTTTAAGCATTCATAAAGAAAAACTCCTCAAAAGTTTTTAATTTTTATCTCCAAGCCTAATTTATTTTTGGATATCTGGTTTATGCCATTTTGTGTATATTATAGGACCCTAAATTCATGCTAATTTTCGTGTGAACAAGTGAAGCCATGTGGAAGTTATACAATTTTTTTGGTGATTTTCGAAAACAAATCGAAGGCTCCATCTAATTTGGCATAAATTTTGAGCATAAAGTTTTTATTTTTCAATTGGTATGACAGTTCATATTTAAGGGTTTTATGAGGTGCGAAATACAAATCTTGACTTTTTTCTCCTTAAAAAAATATTTAAACCCACTTTACTTCTAAGGTCAGTACTAGTTGTTTCAATATTTCATTCATACTAAAGTACTGTACTATATTCATACTGTATGCCAAATATAAATATTTTTTCTATTAATAGATCTCATAAGAGCTATTAATAGAAGGACGAATATTGAGCAAAAAAATTACATTTTTCGATTGGAACTTATTTTCGGGTTGATTTTTGACAAAATATCAGGTTTTGTGCAGTAATATTACTTTAGATGCCCGTTCGGTTTGCAAAAAAAAACATATATTTCGTATACAGCTGTAGAATGAATGAAATATTGAAACAATTGGTACTTATCTTAGGAGTAAAGTGGGTTTAAATATTTTTTTAAGGAGAAGCAAAGATGAGATTGGTAAACTAGACCCACATAAACAAATTAGAACTGGAGATATAAAATAACAACTTTTGAGGAGTTTTTCCTTATGAAGGCATACAATTGAAAAAACATTTCTATGGTTTTGAAGAGCAATAATTTATCTTTCCAAGGGTTGTAGTAATGTTAAGTTAGGAGAAAGTTCTGAGGAGTTATGAATATTTTAGTAAATGGTATGAAAAAAAAATCCACCCATAAAATTAGGTCCAAAATTATCCATTAGAAATGGTTAATTACAATTTGCAATAAGTTTACATTTATTAAAACAAAAACTAAATAGATTGATATATAATAACTTAGAAATCCACGCAGAGCAAAGTCAGATAACAGTAATATAAAAAAATAATAAAGTTTTATGAAACATTTGTTTTTCTCGGCTCCTAGAGGCCATTGTCCAGAACCTTTAGATATAGGTCTAATATTTTTTGACAGAGAATCACCAAAGAAAGTTTAATTAAAATTGGTGACCCCACATCCGTAACCTCCCTTGTAATTAATTATTGAAGAAAAAATAACAGCTGATTACATATTAAATTATAAATAAATTATGATAAGTAATAATTAAAACCAAGAAATTTTTTTTGAAACTAGAGAATTATAGACGTTTCATGGTTCAACCAAACCATTTTTACAGTACCCCATTGAATATTTATTTCTAGTCCTAAAAGTATCCAAATTTTACAATATGTATTCATTAATTTATGATGGTAAATGTTGAAAAAAAGGATAATATATCAAACTTTGCTTAATTGGCCAATCAAAATGATCAAACATTCCATAAAGCTTTATTTTTGACATTTAAGATAATTTTCAAGCAATATTTCATTGATTAAATTATTAAAAACTGGATTCATAAACTATATTTAACACATCAGTTTAGTTTAGCCTTGAGAGTACAATAACTCACAATTATCATTATTATTTTATTCAAAGTTATAGCAATCAAATGTGATAATAATGTCAAAGATTACAATAATGGTACCATAACTTGGAACCATGGAAGTTAATTGTAGCCAAATCAGAAAGGAATAACAAGAATATGACATATTGTTTAAGAATCTAGCAATGCTTCTGCTTTTTTTTTGTAGAAATTGTGAATTATGTATATATTTTTAGAATATAGCTAAGTGTAATTTAAAAACTTTTTTGTGTCAGTAACCCCCTATTATGATACTTATCTTTTAGGGTATGATACTTATATCTAAATAAATATATTGAAATATGTTTTTAACCTTTCTACAAAGAAATAATTATCTTATTTTTGTTTAGTAAATATCAATGCATGCATATAAACAAGTTTATCATAGACTCAGGCTATTAACTAGTCATTACAACAATAAAAATAACAACCTGCTTCTGGAAGAAAATTAAATCCATAGATTAGGAAACATACTGTTGAGAAACTACAGGAAACTGACTAGAACTGGATCTTTTCTGTGATGTTCTCTGAGAAATTGGGGGTTTTCTTTTGGCTAGTGATGATCTTGAAAGAATATGGCCTGAACTTAAAAGAGCACTTAAAAAGGTTGCAAAGGAAACAGTAGATTTTCAGGAGCCAAAGAGTAGGGATGATTGCCACAATGAAGAGTACTAATTACAGTAAGGGTTACAGAAATGTGCTAAAAAAAACAACCTATTTTAACGGAAGAAGCAAAAGCATTTGTCAAAAAATGAACTAAAGGTCTTGAAAATGAAAGTGCAAATTACTACAGACGGTTTTAATATAAGATCAACCAGAGATGATATCAGTTAGAGATAAGATTTATGTTCTGTAAGGGTGTGGATTGAGTACTCCTTATCGATATGAGAGACTAATACTTCGGCCTACTTCTTCACAATAGCATGTTTTTGATTGATCAGAAGAATCCCTAATACCTAGATCCACAGAGTAAAATATCAAAAAATTTAAAAATATTAAAGTACCAGACTTAATGAGATTCTCACCAAATCCTTTCAATCAGATAGCACAGATATTTATGGCATTATTGTGCACAGAGTGAATGTTGACTACCAAGTAAAAAATTCAAGTCCAATTTATAAATAGAGATACCTTTTTGAATGCATCAACAATCATAATATCTCACCCTTATCCTGTGAATACAAGGTTCTTTTAAATATATTTAACATGATTTTCTCACATCTAGTATGTATCCTGAGAAGATATAAATGTTACTCTACATCATGCAATTGTATGACAGAGAAGATATTCCTCCTCAGAACACTGGAGAGGGTGAAGGAAAATAGTATAACAACCCTTCATTGTTTCATAGATTTTAAGACAATTTATGATGGTGATTTTTATCAGGAGCTATACTCCACAATGTATAACCTTGATGTAATAATCAAAATCAAACAAAAAAAAAAAAATACAATAAATGTTGTGGTAAGCTCTTGTGTGAGTAATTTGCTAAATTTAGTAGTTTTTAAAATTTTACCATGTAGCAAAGAACCTTTTTCAGGCCGGGTAGGAAGTGCTAGCAAACCAGATCCGGCCCTGGCTCCGCATTTTGGAGACCCTTGTTCCAGATTAAGCTATGCAAGACTTCATTCATGAATCAGAAAGAATCTTAATCAATCTGTTCATTTTTGTCTTTGCTTGTGACTTAAGTATTATTAAAAGAAGGCACACCTTAATAGATGAGGCATTCGTTGATTAGGATGGCAGGAGAAAGATATGGGCTAATTTTAAACTCTGAAAAGACCAAAAATACTTAATATCTTATTTAAACAACCAAGAGTTAGAACAATGATGTATTTTGAATCTCTAGTTAATTCTCTCAGTAATTAACTCAGGGGCAAACTGATGAATCCTTTAGGTGAACTGGGTCATTTTTGGGTTAAAGGTACACATGATCAATGACTGCCTATCCTGAGCATCTAAGATTTTGTGTTATGATTCGCTTAACAGATCTGAATCAACAATCAGTGTGGAAACATGGGTCATATGGAAGAAGAATAAACAAAAATTATCTTCAATAGAAAAATTTAATTCAGGATATACAATCCTGTAAAACAAGAATTGCAAATCTTTGCGATTGGAGTTGCAAATCTAATAATTATTAATTATAATGAAACCTTAACTTTGTCTCTTCCAGAATTTGTGAATAAAAAAAAGAATGTGTGAAGTGCATATAGTGAGAATGGGAATTATAGAAACACAAAGATGAGCAGCTCAATAGAATCTGTTTAAAAGGAAAACCTGGCTGAGATTGCAGGATTGACAAAAAATAGTTAGGCACAAATAAGATTTTATGATAAGAAAGTTGCAGCAATTAACTGAAAACTGACAAAAGATACATTATATTATCCTCTGAACAGCAATGAAAATCACAGGGCAAATTATAGAACTGAAAAGTGAAGAGTTGAAAGGACAGTGGAAGATCAGCAATTTTAAAGGTGAAGAGCCATAGAAAGTAAACACTTGATCTTACTATGATCAAACTGGTTCTTTAGGACATAATTTCATTTTTAGAAAATTTATTAAGATATTTTGTTGGCACCACAAAAACTAAACTCACAATCTTTAGAGAAAAAAAAATCAGATCAGTTTTATGGGGCTTTCAGGTAGTTTTATTAAAAAATTAATATCAAACATATTATTTTAGCTAAATT